TTTTGCTCTTTGGACGAGTGAGTATGAAACCCGTTCATACCTTTGTTAATGAAGAAAATATATCATGCTACATTTTAGAGGAAGATGGGCGCGTATTTTGAATCAAATGCAATGCTAGAAATTGAAAAATTGCATCAAAAAGTTAATTACTGAAGTGTTTATTATCACTGAAATTGATGTTTAAGATCATGCAACCGACCACCATTCTCTAATTAGATTAACTGGATGGACTTCGACCTTGGTAGTGATTGAATTCAGTTCAAACAGAATTATGACCTGTTATGAATTCTTTAGGGCAGGAGCCCATTACCCGAAGCTTCCATCTTCCATACTTACCCTCTGAGTCAACCCTGTCCCGCATCTTTTTATTTTTAGAAGCACCCCATGGGGTTTTTCGCGGGTGTTTGTATAATAGTCAACCATCAGAGAGCTGTGGTCCTCTATTGTTTACGTCTCATGCAGGCCGCACGAAAGAATTTCAATTATGCGAACGTCAGCGTGTTTTCGCGGGAAATTAGGGAGCCCCCCACATATCTCAGTTCTAAAAATAAAAAGATAGGGGACAGGGTTGACTCAAGGATACAATTGGTCTGGAGGCTCCGGGTAATGGCCTCCTGTCTAGGGTGATTATATAGATTAAGTGAGCAAACGAACAACAATACTGAAAGCTGCTTGTCATAAACTCGTACCTTCCAATGTGCTCGTCAAGACATTCTTTGCAATATCTGTGGCCACATCTCGTAAAAACTGGTTCCTTTAGCGGTGAATGACATATGGGACATTGGAAATCTTCTTCAACTTCTTCCACAAAGTCCTCGCCGTGGCCTGAGGGAGAGCAGTGTTCATTTTATGTGAATTCCGCCATGCTGAAATCCACCTTTTGCAGTAATTGCTCAGGGTCCGGAGTAAACGACCACAGTTGTTTGTACAAGTTACTACAAACTTGCTGCACTGTTTAATGTGGTCTTACGAATAAGAATCCATGAAACACAGTCAGGAATGCGTAAATTATATTCAATATTCATCTTTGGTTTAATTATGAACTCCTTAAGTCCTTTAAGAGAGAGAGAACCATTAAAGCATGAAAAGCAAAAGAAAAAGAAACCAAAACAAGCAAATCAGTTGGAAAGTTTTTCTTTTTTTGTTAAAGGACTGAAATTATTTCACTGCCCGTAAGATAATTTAATTGGCAAGAATATCCCATTGGATTAAACAAAAGAAAAATAATGACCCATTGTTTTCCCTTTGTGAAAGATCTTCCTTGTTTGAAGGTTTTTGCATATACTGCAAGTATATTAATTTTTAGGTTAGATCTTTGAAAACGGATTTAACAGAGGAGACGATATTTACTCGAGTTTCAATTTCAGTGACTTTAAAATGAGGGCGATCACTATCATAATACGCAATCAAATAATTTGACTCCCGAAATTGCCAATGAAATCTTTGAGGAAGATAATTCTTAAGACGATCACATTGGTAAACACTTATGAAGATACATCGTGCAAAGTAATTGCGGAAGCGAAGGACATATTTTACGAACAGATTTAAACTAATCGAGTGCAACGTTAGTAAAAACGCGATTGCATTATTTACGGTGAAAAATTGTCAAATTCTTGCGAAAAAAATTGGCTGGTATGACGCGGTGTTTCGCCTCAGCCAAGAGGCTCATCAGATACCTTTGGTAAATTTAGAGCGAAATCGTCGAGCATCGCGCTCAAAGTCCCGTTCGCGAAGTCCAGATATTAGCAATCTGGCGCTCTATCGCTAAAGGATTCCCAACCACGTGTTCACGAGCTACAATATATACGATGAAAAAATTGCCAAATACTTGTGAAAAATTCGTGGCTGCTATAATGCGGCGTGACGCGGAGTTTCGTCTCGGCTAAGAGAATCATCAGATACCTTTCGTAAATTTAAAGCGAACTCGTCGAGCATCGCGCATCAAGTCCCGACCGCGAAGTCAAGATATTGAATTATTCTGTAAATTATTATGGTAGCCATCACCGCTACAACTAATTTTTACGAACGTAAAACCGATGCTTGTCTCCTTAGTAAGAAGACCTCCACTCTACTCACGTAACTCTAATGGAGAAATTCGCTGCGAAGTTACAGAAGGAGTTTCACTGATAAATGTAACATAATAGATTAAACGAGCCAATGAAGCTCCATATTAAGTAGTTTTTGTTATTTACTCATACCTTCTGATATGCTTGTTAAGGCATTCTTTGCACCATCTGTGGCCACATCTCTTCTGATCTGAAATGGCTCCTTAAGCGTCAATTGCTTCCACAAAGGAGGACTGTAGACTTTTAATGTGAATTCCGCCATATCGAGCAGCTGCCTGTGCTATTTTAATTTAGTTGTGATGAAATATTAAAAAGTGTGACCATTGATTCAAAATGCCAGTCAAACGCAATCAGCCAGGATTTTGTGAGAGACACGTGGACATCAAGACTAATTTTGCATAATGACATTATTCTAGATAAGCATTGTCCGCGTCTTCACGCTTATTGGTCTATATCAATCGGTTCGTTGAACTCTACGAAACATTTTAGATTACTTTTAGATTTGCCGAGATTTGTCGTTTTACTTCAGCTTCAAAATCGCAAAAAGAGCGGGGAACAAAAGAGAATGTTCACGGGAAGTAAAAATCTACACATACTGGCCCTAGCACGAAAAAAATTCTTATTTTCCCCTATGATGACATCTCTCCACTTAAATTTTGACGTAAAGATCAAAAGAAGGACTCTGAGGTCGCGCATTTTCTGATGAGTTCAAGCATGTTCTTTTCTTGCTCAGACGGGTTGAAGGAAGCTATCGCACGAGGGCCATCTTTTTGTCACATGTTTCGTTAATAGATAATTACTGAGGTTCGCAGCATTATTGGGTATAATGCAGGCAGCTTCGGCCTGCGGCCTCAGCTGCCTGCATTATACCCAATAATGCTGCGAACCTCAGTAATTAACTATTATAATTATTGACCCTCATAAAATCCTATTGTTCTCTCTCTGCATTACATCGACGATTTCAGTCGCCCCTTCATATTGATGTTTTGGTACACCAACAATGCAACTGGCAAGCATTGTCCAGTAATAATACAAATTGCATAATCCTTTTTCATTCCCCAATTCAGCCATTGTTAACTACTTGCAAAGATGATATAATCATTGACTCTCATGAATTCCTACTATTTTCTCTCTCCAACAATGCAATTAGCACGTATTGTCTAGTAGTTATACAAATTACATAACCCTTTTCATTTCCCGGAATTTAGTCATTGTTAAATCCTTGTAAAGATTATGTAACTTTCCACATCTTTCAGGTGTGTGATTGAATTTCATGCAAACGTAATTTGCATTGTATATTAACGCAATGCACTTGGTTATTTGAGTTGTTTGTTGGAAGGCAAAGAGTTGCTACTGTTTTGAAGCTTGATGGAGGATTCTTCGGAAGACGAATCTGCCATTTTCATAACGCAGAGCCAGAGGTCGGAAAATGCCGCTGCCGTTGCCCTTCGACGAAGTTGCGCCACACGATTGTACGAAGGTGGTGTGCCAGAACAAGTTATTGTAGAAACCACTGGTCACCGATCATGTGATGGGGTTAGGGAGTATAAGTGTACCTCATCAACACTTAAAAGGAAAGCAAGTGAAATCTTGCAGGGAGCGACTCCTAAGAGGGCAGAAATAGACGTCAAGGAAAAAAATGAAAAACTGTTTAACAATGATGTTGAGCAAAAATATGATGGACAAAGGGAAGAAACAGGGTTACAGGGGTTAAGCGAAAAGGTTTTAGACGAAAACCAGAGCGTAGATTATAATCAGTCAGTTGTAATTAGTACTCACAGTACGAAAATTGTTATTTCTTACAAGTGAGAAAGACTGTCATTGTCAGATGTGCCCTAAATAAACTGTAAAATGTTTTCGTCTGTACGTCTCCTGGAATGGTACTTCTCATGGTGTATTCATTTACTTTTTAACTTCAGATCTTCATCATAAATTATGCGCGGACATTCGCAAATTTTCAAAAATTACTGAGTGGAAAAGTAACGAAGTAAATACCACAGTCATGCAGCAATATTAAAAATATTGCTGGAAGCAGGCTGCATTATTAAAAATATTGTAGTGCAGCCAGCCCACTGCAATATTGAACGTTTTAGCGCGTTTAGGATTACCCCTGATAATTTCCTTGCTACCAAAAAGGACCGCCACCGTTTTCACTTGACTGAATATGAATACTTTCTCAGGCTGAAATCGCCGATATAATGCTGAGAGAGAACAATAGGATTTTATGAGGGTCAGTAATTATTAGAATTTAATGCGTCTCAGTCAAGCATAGCCATTTCGCAGGAATTTTGCATTGTTTTGAGAGATTTTAGCCAAAACCGTGGCCCCCGATATTTTTCCCACCTTGCCTGAAAATTTCAAATTTTTCACAACTTCGCCTGTTCCTGTTCGTATGTCCAGTCAAGCCTTTATGGTGTTGTGAAAGACCTCAGCCGATGTAAAATTTTATAAGTGTTGAGTCGCAATGACAGGGAAACTAGCTGCAGACTGCAATATGTTTTTACGACAGGTACCACGGACTACTGAGCTGTCATTTTCAGGAGTCGTCTTTAATCTCTTGGTTCTCAAAGAGAATCTTACATCAAATTCACTTCACTCTGTGTAACTCTGGTTGCCTGACTCTAACTCCGTTCGATCACTATCCCTCTCTCCGATTCTGACTCTTCTCAAATAAATTCTAAAGAGCATGCTTATATATTCTTCACTGCTAGGCAGGTGTGGGCAAGCTTTTCATCAAAGTCAAATTGAGAATCTAACTCAGTGATTTTTCTTGCCTTCAAGGCTAGGGTACGGAATCAATTATAAAAGGGTTAAGTTTTTAAAGAAACTGTTGTGCTGCTCGGTGGGAGAGTATGGCAGGTAATTTAGTGTTAACAACTGAGTTGAAAACGTAAATTGGCCACCGGAAAGAGAAAAAAAGCTGACGTTTCGAGCGTTAGCCCTTCGTCAGAGCGATAGATACGGAATTAATAAGATGGCGACCTAATTTCAACCTGTAGAAACAAAGTGTCATCCACAATATAGTGCTGCGATTTAAGTTTCTCATGAGATACGAAACAATCAAAACCTATGCCTGTGTTCTCTTCTGCTATAGGCCTGCTAAAGCTCGGAATATTCCGCCCTTCTACCTCCTTAGTTTCGTTTTCTCTTTCTTCTGGATCATCCTCTTGATCAATCAACGTGAGCTTCACTTTCTTATTGAAATGCCAAGGTAATATCGCGTCATATTCACCTTTCATTATAGTAATGAATACCGACATGTGAGTATTCTTGGCATTTCCAATTCCATTAGGGTAAATGAATACTCTTAATTTGTACCCAAACCCATCTGTTTCAGTTTTGGTGTAGAATGGATCACTGTATATTCTCTCTTTTCCCTCGTTCTTTGCTTGTTTCAAAATTTCACTGAAACCGTCGATCCTCCAAAGAAACGCGTTTGTATGTTGTACGCTTGATGACTTAAGCAGTTCCATGGCATTTTTTAACTCATCCCTTGTCTTATCTAATAATACTTCTGTGTTATTTAGTTTGATACAAACTAAATCAAGGTGGAGTCTTGTGGCTGATTCAAGATGAGATTCTGCTCCTTGCCGCTGAACCTACAAGAAAGTTAAACCTTCAGGGTCGTAAACAATTTTATGAGCCTTCGACTGACACGCTATCTAAATTATTTTAAATGTCTTATTAAATAGTGACTTTCGAACTGCGGGCTTTGATTGGTTGAAAGAGTGTGTCTTATCAGAGTGTAAAACACGGAGATGAACTACAGCCGCTACGTTATCTGCCAATTTGTACCATGTCCGACCATTCAGTTCCCGACCTTATCTCTAGCTGTTTTTTTTCGTTAATTGACGGTGAATTTTCACGCAATCCTTTGTAGTTTAGCTTAGTAGGGCTCCAACGTTAAGAAAAAATATAGGTCTCGAAAGTAATAAATACTTTGACACCCGAGCGGCCTTATCACCATTGGAGAGACCCGATCACTGTAAGTGGACTTACCTTTGCTTGACAGCCCATCTGTACGTATGGGCAGGAAATCATAGTAAGCCGACACTCGTTCTTAGTGTGAGTTGAAACCTGGATCACATCAAAAAAGGTTAATAAACACACGTTGTAATGGATAGAAATCTCCAATTCTCCTATAACTAAGGGTATATTTTAAATTTCAATGTGTCAGGTATCTATGCTTTTAATTATAAATGCGCCGCCTTCTTACCAGCTCAGAGAAATAAGACTGGGAAGCGGCCGGAAATGAAGACGTGTATGAAGAAGATGTAAACTGGCTTTTGGTTACCCAAATTTTCCTCACATATGACAACCATTAATCCTGGATCCTGGCTCAATCTTGTCAGGAAATGTAGATGAAGCAATCGGTGTAGTTATTTATTCAACAAATCTTTCAGCATGCGTTGTTCATCTTCAGCAGTGCTATTTTTGATTTAAATGCCGTGTCAAAAAGTCTTTTTAATTGAAAGAAAGTGGAGGAACAGAGGGATGCATTGAAGATTAGTATCATTAACGTTTTAAGAATCGCTAGGCACTTCAGTCTGCACGTACATCAGGAGAGAATTTAAAGTCTCACCGTATCTCTGGGAAAAGAAAGACCACAGCTGTTTGGACAAGTCACCGGAAACTTGCTGCACTGTTTGAAATGGTTCTACAAAGAATAATCCAAGAAAGATAGCGAGGAATGTTTAAACGCAGTTCTTCGTCATTCTTTGGGTTTTTCTTTTAACTCTTCTGTTGGGACTCAGGCCTCTAAGGAATACATTTTGTCAGTTAAATGCGTTTTCTATTTGGTCCGAGGCCGCGTGTGGTAAGTATGTGGAGACGTAGCCCTCTACGTCAGTTTTTTGGGGATGTTCTCTTTTGATAAAGTAACTGATTGAAATGTCTTTTAGTTCCGTGGCTATGGGTGTGATGCATGGTGTACAAAATAAGTTACCACCCACCTGCATTTGACACTCTGGCCATCGCTCTTCACAGTGTTTACATCGCCTGATTCTCCATGGACACCTCTGTGCGTGTGATTGTAGAAGGCCTCTCTGGACTTTCGCTTCACATTTGTCTCTGGTACACGCTACCAGTTGAAAGAGACAAGATCCCAAGTGGATCTATTCCACAAATGAAAACAGTATAGAAAACTTCTGTTTGGATCGCAGTTTCCAGTCATTTGCTCTGTTACATAACAGTGTAAAACTGACCCCATGAGCGTCCAAACCTCTATTATAACTTAAGAGAGAGGGAGACGGAAAAAGATGAAGGTTTCATTACCTCCTTAAGTCTTACTTCCCCAGTCCATTTGCAGCCAACGTTTGGACATCTGATTGCCAGCGAAAGAATCTTCCTTTCTGTTGCTTTATCAGGGAAAATGTCCTAGAAAAAAATAATATCTAGAATATTATTGTTTGTAATTGAATGAGTAAATGGTTTTTCTACTGATAAGGGACTACAAATATGAGTGCCTAAAGAAAATATATGATATTCGAAAAAGAGATCAATAGAAATAGAAATTGTCATATAAACTACGGTGTTATACAGGGATTTCCGGCCCCAAGAAAAGAAACGTGATATGTTGTTTATTACCTAAAGATCTATGAATAGAATAGCCCTTTATTGACCAGAAAGGTCGACCTTATTAATGAATGAAAAATAAAAAGGATCCACAATCCGCGGATAAAAGTCGTGAAGTCCGTGGGTGATAGCTCAAAATGAAAAGATGCAAAAATAAACAATGCGCGTGACAAAATTCACAAAAATTCTCAGCCATCGTATCTGCCAAACTCGGCCTGTGGCAAATCTTTCAGCTGTCAATTTTCGTTCCCAGCCGCGAGAAATGTCATCACCAAATTCTAGTCACTTCGGTTTTTCTTCCAATCGCTTCTGGTAACACTTACTTAAGTCAGGTCAGAGGAAATACACTTATACAGCTAAAATGGTTATTTACCCGGTCTTTATCCAGGTTCTGCCTGTCGAATGGACATGTTAAGGATTGTCCTTGACTTCGTTGCCTGTAAGAAAGTTTTTACGGCAAGAATATTTCCTTGATTGGTAGATCTTTCTTCTTTGTTATTTTTTGCATTTACGGCAATATTATTTTGATTTATCTATTTTGGGTAATTACAGATCTGTAAAAGCGAATGCTTCAGAAAAGGACGTAGCATCAACTTGAATGATTATGAAATGAAAACGATTACTCTTGCAATGGGTGATAAAATTATTGGCTTCTGCTTTCTATTCCAAAATAACTAACTTTTTGAGAAACAGCCTGATCGGTATCTCGCTAAGATAGATTAAGAAAGATAACCTTTATTTACGCACGATAATATTTTAAGCTACAAGCTTGTGGGGTCGTGTAAAGAAAAGCGGAAAATCACAAGTTATGTAAATATAACTTGAATTTAAAAAACAACAAGCGCAAGTGTCGCGCCTGAACATTGATATTTTAGTTTTTTTTAATTTTTATGTATTTAATCTTGTTTGCACGTATTGCATGCCATTGAAAGCGACGTTATGTTCAAGAGATTTCTTACGCGACCTCAGGGTAAATAAAATGGTTGAGTTGTGAAATACAGTGTTATCATTGTGTAGAAGCGTTTTAAATGACAGAAAGGAATCGTGCTACTTAAGGTAAGTAATTATGGAAGTCACGAACTGACCGAAAGAATCAAGTGCATTGAAATTGCATCATTCAGTAAATCTTCAGTAAACCGATTAATTTCCTTCTGAAGATCACAATTGAATAGTGCTTATCGATGTTTACATGAACTCAAACCTTTTAATATGCTCGTCAAGACATTCTTTGCAATATCTGTGGCCACATCTCGTTTGAACTGGTTCCTTTAGCGGTAAATGACATATGAGGCATTGAAAATCTTCGTCAACTGCTTCCACAAAGTCTTCATCGTGGCCCGAAGGAGGGCGGTATTCATTTGAGGTGGATTCCGCCATATTGAAAAACCGCCGAGCTGCTAGAACTGGGAGTTACTACATCACGGGCGACGAGTGGGGGATGAAGAAAAGAGCGAAATATGAGTGGTCAGCGGGGAAACAAATTTAATACTTCATATAGAGACATATCAGTTATAGTTGCGGAAAACAATAGTGTTGTAAAGCCGAAATATCAACATTATACTTCGCTAAATAAAATGTTACGCAATTTTTCAAAAGTGTTGATGGCACATAAATCTTTTACTGCTGTAATAAACAATAGAGGCACCAGAAAAGGCATAGGTGGCATCCGGAAAGGCACTAAGAAGAATTATATTTACGTTTTGTAACTTGCTGCGTGACGAAAAAAGAAAACCAAAACCGTGGTCCCCAAGTGAATTCTCCCACCTTGCCCCAAAAAATTTTCAAATTTTCCGCAACTTCACCTTTTCCTTTTCGTAGGTCCGGCCAAGCCTTTATGGTCATTGGCTCCCGTATAGCCACTAACTATGGCTTATAAATACAGGTGTTTAGTGTTAAATTGTAAAACTCCCAGAAGAAAACTACGACAGTTAAACGAAAAGCGTCGGGGAATAAATAAATTTTACAGGTAATTTAGTGTTAACAACTGGGTTGAAAACGTAAATTAGCCACCGTAAAGGGTAAAACGATATATCGCGATATATCGCTCTGACGAAGGGCTAACGCTCGAAACGTCAGCTTTTTTACCCTTTACGGTGGCTAATTTACGTTTTCAACCCAGTTGTTAACACTAAATTACCTGCTATACTCTCCCACCGACGCAGCACCACAGTTTCTTTAGAAACTTACCCCTTTAAATAAATTTTACGACTACCGTTCGTAGAGTGCTGCTCACCAGTTTAGTTTTAAAAATATATTTTTTTTAAATTTGGTGCGATAGCTGTGATCAGTTTTTCCATGCAGGTTGTCTGGATGTACCTTTCACAGAGACGTGGGGGGGACAGAGACACCAACACAACATTTCACCTGCCGTTCGCTTCGAAAATTAAGTTTTCATCCCGAGTTAATTTGTTAAATAAAATAGGAAAAAAAACACTTCGAACGGAAAATAGAATTGCTTATTTGGTATTTTCGTTAAAAAGGCATGAGCTGAGTGTGCTCTGAGAAATTTGCTTTACATGACGCGTTTTACGCTTGAAGAGTTCTTGGAAACAATAATCACACTAATCCAACGGCGTATTACGTAACGCCGGTAGCTTTAATTAACGCTCGATCACCGCTTTGCAATTTTTTTAATAATCAGTCAAAATCTTTTTTTTTTTTTTGGAAAAATTGCTCTGTATCTAGGTAAATTTCTTAATAGCTAAATATAGTATCATGTTGAATATTAACTTCTCAATTAAAATAGCTGAAGTCAGCCAGGAGATTTTACTGAAGAGGAATAAGGATCACCATCTCATGTTTTTCAGTGGAAAGAATTTGTTTATTATGGGTTATCGGTTATGACGCGCGGCAAGGCGCGTGACAAATAAGATCTATGGAAAAAAAAATCTCGGCTGTTCCCAAGGAAAGAACACTTTCTGAACAATTATTGAGCAGATTTGCATCATTGGAAAAAAAGTAAACTCTCTGGAAAATATCTTCAAAAGGCACGGAATTTTGACTGTTCAAGGGACAATTTTAATACTTGAAGTCTCTCGAAAACGCTAGCCTGAATACAAAAGCTTTTTGATGTGACTTACATTTGATAAAGAGACTTCGCAATCTAAAGTTTCCTTTGGAAATCCTTACCCTTTTCTTTTAAATTGAAACTCAAAACAGGATTTCGTTGATGAAGTTTGGACCCATTGGTCTAAACTATTTAATGTCATAGTAGAGAAACACGCACCCTGTATAAAAAAGAGAGTTCGGTCTAATCAGCTTCCCTAGATCAATATAGAGATAAAGAAATCTATGCGCTTGAAAAACAAATTGTACAAAAAATATCGTCGCCATCCCACTAAAGACACAAAGGAACATGGTCACTAAACTGAAACGAGTCGCAATTAAACGATTTTGCGCTGATTCTGCCTCTAATGCAAGCACATCCAACAGCTTCTGGAAAAATCTGAAACCCCTATTACCCTCCGCAAGGAGGGAAGTCTCCCAGGATGATATTCACCTCATAGATGACGGCAAAGTCATCAAAGAACCTTCAAACTTTTTTAATTCATTTTTTTCTACCCCAGTCTTGGACCAGCCTGCCCTAAAACTCAAGCGGGAAGAATTTTCGACCCACCCTAGCATCTCCTCTATTTCATCGCGCGACTTTAAGCTGAACTTTTCTTTTCAACCTGCACGTGTCTCATATATTCAATCTGTTCTGGATAGGATCAAGTGCAATAAATCTTGCGGACCCGATAACATAATGCCCAAGATTCTTAAATATTCAGCACCATCTATAGCAGTTCACCTCACAAGGCTACTTAATCTCTACATTAGTACCTCTACGTGGCCTACGGAGTGGAAGCTCAGCCATGTTACACCCTTATTTAAAAAAGACGATGCCACATTAGTATCAAATTACAGACCTATCAGTGTCCTGTCCATCATACCCAAGATCTTAGAAAAAGTCAATTTTGACCAGCTGTACGACGTATTCAAACCCTTGTTCTCGTCTAACATGTCTGGCTTTCTTCGCGGTCATTCGTGCTACACTGCTCTGATCAAAATGTTTGACGACTGGCGTCTGGCTCTAGATTCTAAAAAGGTTATTGGCTCCATTGCAATCGACCTATCTAAAGCCTTTGATTCCATATGTCATAACCTGCTTCTTGCAAAGCTACGCGCTTATGGTATAGGTGAGGAGGCGATTGACTTCTTGCATTCCCACTTGTCTGGTCGCAAGCAAAGAGTGAAGGTCAACGGAGTTTTCTCGGATTGGTTACCGGTGTACTGTGGCGTTCCTCAAGTTAGCCTTCTGGGGCCACTCTTATTTAACATATTTATCAACGATGATGATACCGCTGCCTATGCGTCTAATACAGACATTTCTGCACTGGAACTGTCTCTTAACAAACATCTTAAGAACCTCTCATCCTGGTTTGCTTCAAATGAACCTACTCTTTATATTGGCGACACCGTTATCAAAATAAGTGGCTTCCTGAATATCCTTGGTGTTCGTTTGGATTATAAGCTATCCTTTAAAGACCACCTATCAACTGTTTTAAGGAAGATCTATGCCAAGATCGGAGCTCTAAGACGACTTAAAAAGATAGTCTCAGCTGATATCTCATTAATGCTGTACGAGGCCTATATACTTCCGCATCTTGAATATTGTAGTCCATTACTATTAGGAATTAACAAAACCTTGAACAAGAAACTTGAATCTGCAAACTATTATGCCCTAAAATTCCTTTTAAATTTTGGAAACGGCTTTGATTATGATTCTATATTGTCTATTGTAAATATGCGATCACTGGAACACAGACGATATTACCAATTTCTTGTTCACCTTTTTAAACGTGTAAAAGTTAATGGGACTGACTATATTTCTGATTTATTCGAATCTCATATATTGCGCTACAATTTAAGGGACAGCGATCACAATCTCACTCAACCGTCCTACAACAATCGATATTATCATAATTCCTTCACATATAAGGCTTCGCAAATGTGGAATCAGCTTCTCTCTTATATTAAAGGATCAACCGATTTGAGTGAATTTCGCAAACTTTTAAAATCCTTTAATCTATCAGTCTTGAGAGCCAGTTGTAAATGCAATTATTGTATATCTTAGGGTTTTACTAGAGTTTCTTAGTTTTTTCATTAGCTTTCTAAATTATCCTAAATTATGCTAAATTATCCTATGTAGGTGCTAGTTTATTAATTTGCTTCATAATTGTATTGTTTTTAACTAAGTATTTAATTGTCATACGTTTTATACACGAGCCTCTGGCTCGGATGACCGGGCCAACCCCATCTTACGTTTTGACTCATTGATAACTAACGATACTCAAATGAAAATTGCTCTCTTTAAAATTGCAACATCTTTATCCCATACTCCCAATAAGGGACAAAGGAGAGGAAACGAAGAGACAAAATAAAGGAAAGAGTAAAAATTAAAAAGTAATCAGTAAAAAAGTAAAAAGTAAGAAAAAAGCTAAGTATCTTCCTTTGCAACTACCTTACCCGACATGCGAAACAAAAACTTTAAGGTAACGCTCAAAAATCAGCTTTCTATATTTTCAAGGGCTCGCAATTTTCCTCCATAAGAGATTAAATAGTTAGATGCGTTCTACACTACAATTATTATTTGACCTATACGGAAAATTTAACTATCCCTGTGATTTTCTTACAAAGCTAATATTTTTATATTAATTTTAAGCAACACCACACATACGTGAATAGACACGTCAGCAGTATTGGTGCACCTTTTATTATTGTTATTATTCATGGCATTAACCAACTCTTTGTACGTTGTTGCAGGGAAAACATACATTCACTTACAAACATTTGCTTTTTTATAGAATATTAAGTTTGCCATATGGCCTAACATATCTTGATACCTAATTTTTTTATGTATCAGAGTGGCCAGTGAGAGCAGCCTAGTTGGTAATGTACATAATCGTTCAAGATCGCTTTATTTCTCTTCCTAATCATATGAAAATTGTGTCAATCACGTATATTTTTCCAAAATAACCAATTCATCTACGGCTCCTGCCTAAGAAAATTCTTTTTAGCTTTAATTTTCGGAGAGTCCAGACGTACTAGTTGGTTCATATACCTTCATTTGCCAGTCCGGATATTGCTCCTGGCAGAAATTACACTTTACCATTTTCAATGGGCACTGTTTGGTGCGATGTGTATCAAGATCTTTCTGTGCCATGGTAATTTTACAGTCAGGGCATGGAATCACTCTAAAAGGACAAACCCCCAAATGTGGCTGTGAAGGACCAAAAAAAAAAAAAGACAAAAATGCATTAATTCAATGCCACTACATCTAAGTCAATTAAGATCTTATAAACATAGAAAAGAAGAAAAAATCTTCAAACCTCCTT